ATACTCCTCCTTTCACAACTATGTCTGCATAAGGAATGGGTAGGTTTTCTTTTTAGTTTTTTAGAGACCTCCCAAAGTTTGGAAAAAGTCAATTATGGACACATTTGTTGAATTACCAGCAGAAGGACTACTTGCAGTCAAGATCACCAGATTGTAGACTTTTGGCGTAAACTTCTAAAGAATTTCTATACATGTGCATAGTTTTAAAAAATGAACATAGGTGTTAAGTTGAGAGAATCACACATGAATTGTCTGAATTAGAAAAAGATTTTTTTGATAAGCAATGAAAAATTTTTTAAGACTATTTTTTCTCATAGTATGGACATTTAAAGAACGCGTGGCACACTCTTTTACTTCGCAGGCAAGCATATCTCACTATATTGAATGAAGTAAAAATTCTAAATTGTATACGCATTTACACGTGAGTGAAGGGAGGAATGTAACAGGGCACTAACCGTATTATAACTTTTAATTGCATGAATTTGCAAGATGGTGATTTGAAGAGGCTCTTAATGGGATAATAATTATTAAAATTCTCAGGAGAGTAGGTTGAATGATTGATAAAAAATGAGAAAAAAAAAAAAAAGAAATGGGTTAAGAATTAAGTTTTAAACAGTAAAATGAATTTAAGAACGGTTCCAAGGTGAATCAAACGCAGAACTTAGCCAATGTTCAGTAAAATTGAGCAAATCCAAGGTTCTCCACGGTATCCATTTACCGCCAATACGAAGAAATGATTAATTTGTTTTACAAATCTTTGGGTCCTGAAAAATGAATTTCGTGGTTTGTTTACGATGTATCCAAAACGTGTATATTACTATAGAGTGACCCAAATTCTTCAAAACAAAAAAAGCATCTGTTTCTTACCTAAAATTCCAAACTTGAGCTTTTGTTTTTTTACATTATACTATCAGTCCGAAAAATGTATATTCATACAGAAAAGAGTGACCCAAATTTTCTAGGCAAAGAAAGGCCTTTGGATATTGCCTAATTCCCTAGCTTTGGGTTTGTTTATACTGATACTGTCCGTCCCCAAACACCATCATCTTCACAGAAAGAAAAACAGAAAAGTCTAAAAACAAAGAGAGTGTTATTAACAGACCACCTAAGATTAAGACGGTCAGTGGAGAAATTATATATATAGCAATGTCAATTTTTTGTGGTGGGGGAGTCATCTATATAAACGAGAGATCACCAGGCCTCACAGACAGACGGCTCCAAGAGAAATCGGCTAGGATTTTCCCGGGACAGCATCATAAAACAGCCATCGCTAAAGAACACATCCGCAAATCCAGTAGCTGGAGTGAACACACACACACACAGACACACGCATGACAGATGAATTGAGTGAGAGTCGACTGGCTGGTCATTGCTTTAGCGGTTGCTCCTACATTTCTCAAATCACCATACAGCAAGTAGAGTGCTTAATCCGTCAGTAAACAATAGAGACATTTTATTCACCAGTTTATTTTTTTTCTTTTTATATTCAATAAACCTGTTGTTAGTGCTGTGCAATTTATTGATGGAGTTCTTATTCTAGCCTTGATTCCCAACGTTGTCCTTGACAGGAATTGCACAAACTTGTCTGTGGTACACAACGTACATATTCGTTCCACCACTAGACTTCACCGTCAATCACAATATTGTAAGATATTCTGAAACCCTAATCAATCTTGTCTAAACGGCACACTGGCTCCAACCGAAGAGGGAAAAGAAAGCCGGATGATCTGCAAGGTTGGTATTACTCAACAAAACTAGCGACCGAGGAAAAAGAGACAGGAAATAAGACATAACCAGAAGATGACCAAGACTACTTAATTTTGAAGAAGAATAAAAAAAAAGACAGTAAAGATAGTGTTGGAATTTAATTTGAGAACAATATTTTACAAGTTCACATATTTTTTTCTATCCTCACTCCAACTTCTTTTTACTTTCAAAACCGTCTTCCAAGGCCTTGATTCTTATCAGAGATAAGAATATATTTTCTGACTAACGAGAGAGCTGGAAAATATAAAAAGGAATTCCACCACCATTATTCTTTCCATGGTGTCATAAAGTCTGGGGGAAACCTCACAGCTTGTTCACTCCAACCTGTTTTCATTACCTTCAAAAACGGCTCCCAGGGCCCTGATTCTTATCAGAGATAAGAATATATTTTCTGACCAATGAAGGGGCCAGGAAATTTGTTCAACAATTTTGGAGGGAAAAGTCCCCAATTCTTCGGAGCCTACTAAATCTCCATAAATTTGGAGAATCTTTGCCTATTTGGCAGTGAGACTTCAGCCCGCCATCTGTGAGGTCGATGATAAAGAGCTCCAGTCAACTTCAGAACCACTTTCAACCAAAGAAGAACTACCTACGAAAGGGCTGTCGAGAAGGAACGTCAGTCCACAATTCAAGACCAATTCAAAGCTGCATCCCTTCACCACTCCTTCTGACGAGCCCACTGGACTTCTGTCGTTGACCTACGAACTTACTCATCTGCAAGATTCCTATATCTACCAACAATTTTCCTACTCTACAAGAACTGTGAGTGTTTTTAAACCTTAACAAAATTCTACTCGCTTAAAGAACTTTTTAGGCGCTCAGAGAAATATTTTGAGGAAGCCTTTTTTCTGTTTTGAACATTTTCTCTTCCCTTAAAAGAAATTTTCTCTTCTCCCTTTCTTTCACTCCTAATTGTCTTTATCCCGTTACCCTTTTTTTCTGTATATGTAAATAAACACTTTCTTCTTTTATTGTTATACATCGAGTAAGAGTTTTTTCTTTATTCGCACGCGCCTGAAAGAGAGAGTTTGTTCGCTTTAATCTTGCATTTTTTTTTACTCGCGTTTTGTCGCAATTTTTTAACCTCAACCCAATTTTTAACCTCAACCCTTGGATGCGAGAAAAAGATTTTTTTTTTTTTACTCAATAGATTTCTTTCTTACCTTACAAAACATGATGTGTCATTGGTGAAAATATCAGAAAGAGAGAAGTATTCAACAAGCTGAATTTGAGTACATTTTGAAAAGTGTCAGTATATTATTTTCACTATAAGATGCAAAAGGAGTTAGTTTATCCTCTATGTTCAGATAAATTAAGCTATTAGACAGTGTATTAACTCTTAATTTAGTTATATTTATTTGTATTTATTTTATATTCAGTTGCCATTTACATGATTAGTTAAGCAGTTAATTTGCAGTGTAACACCCGCGCTCAGTTCGCATTAAAAAATTCCAGAATACTTACATTTATGTGTAATTGTACATGCTCCATTCGAATCTGGCTTGATAAATGATAAAATCTACCGCTTTGGAGTTATCGACAGTGAAATTTTGGATTCATTTGCGTCATTGGCGGCAGCCATTACTGGCGTTGTTTGCATACATTCACTGCGGAAAGTTAAACGCGGAAGACTACGGTGAGCTAAGTGCGTAACTAATCTTTCTTGTCTAAATTTGTCTCAATTACTGCGCACGAGAACTATTTACCTAGACACGCTCAGTTCGCGCAATGATATCTACACTGATAGCTATTCTGCAGCGAATGTATACAAACAACGCCAGTAATGGCTGCCCGTGACGCGAATGAATCCGAACTTTAACTGTTGATAACTCCAAAAACGATAGATTTTATCAAATTTATCAAGCCAGATTCGAATGGAGCATGTACAATTACACATAATGTAAGTATTCCCGAAATTCTTAATGTGAACTGAGCGCAGGTGTTACACTACAAATTACCCAGTTAAGCTATCGACAACTCTTTTTCACTTACCTATAAAATAAGTAACATTAGTTGCTTTATTCCATATTAAGCTAAGTTTAGTTAATATCATAAAAGTAACATTGTTAATGGAAATCCCCCATTAGGTATCAAGAAAATCTCTGTCTATGTGATTAAAATTATCCTTAAATTTGCTTAAGAAATAACTTTATAACATGTGACTGTAAACCAGTAATTTTTGATAAATGCATTTGGTATATTTTTTAAAACAAGAAATCCTGTATATTACATTAAGGGAAGAAAAAAATCTGAATTAACATTCTGTAACATTAAATTTATATCATCTGTATAATATAAATTGTATCTTTTTGTTTCTATTTTCTTTTTTTTTGTTAATCTGTTTTTTGTTTTTTTACTTTTTAAAATTCTTTTACACACCCTGTATACATTGATGTTAATTGAGGAAATGCCAAGCAATACCTTTTATTTTGTTAAAATGAATTGTGTAAATGAAAACCATTATATTTTATTACTTTAATTATTTGGAATGATACTTTCACATTGTGCAAGATATCACTCATAACAACAGTTTTAGATTGTTAATTGTTGAAACAGGAAGGCTACAATGCTCCAACTGTGAATTTAAATTTTGCTTAATAAATACTTTATCATGTTTTCATAATAATAATGTTTTCATGCGATATCGGTTGAAATAAGAAATCAGGAAACTTGAATAGATGGCAAAATTGGCTGCTTTTTTTATTTCAGAAGAATATGCTTATTTCTGTCATGTTAAACAAGTTCAGATTTTTGGAAAGAAAATAATTGTTAATAAATCTCTTTCAAGAGAACTAAAAAAAGTTTAGGCAACTTAGCTGAGCTCTTTTGATATCTTGTGCTTTCTTTGTCTCAGCAAAATAAATTTGAGCAGATTGTCCTCAGTTCTACTTGGTAAAGTTGAATACAAATATGGTTCCCTTCATACAGAACCAGCAGTAAATCCTGGCAAATAGACGAAAAATAACTGCCAGCGTTCTGATGGTAAACTATGAATTTTGTTTTGGGAAATCATTTTAAGGCAGGAGTTAAATTTTTGTCCTTGAAATAACATGGACGGCAATACTAAATCTTTCTTAAAACATAAATTGGGATTAATAAGCTAGATTTAACAACATAGGCTGAGTTTATTTAATGAAAATTGGAAAATGAACGTCAGTAATCATGGAAAATTTCCATTATTTCTGTTCTGTATAATTCATTGATTGGGGTATTTTTTAAATTATGGATAAAAATTAATATTCTTCTCCTTCTTCTTCCCCTTCACCTTCCAATGAGTCAATTCCAACTTCTTCATAGTCTTTTTCCAAAGCAGCCAAATCTTCTCTAGCCTCAGAAAATTCTCCTTCTTCCATGCCTTCTCCGACGTACCAATGGACAAAAGCTCTCTTGGCATACATCAAATCAAATTTGTGATCAAGTCTGGCCCAAGCCTCTGCAATGGCAGTGGTATTGCTTAGCATACACACAGCTCGCTGCACTTTAGCAAGATCCCCTCCTGGCACAACAGTTGGGGGTTGGTAATTGATTCCAACTTTGAATCCTGTGGGGCACCAATCAACAAATTGGATGGAACGCTTAGTTTTGATTGTAGCAATGGCAGCATTTACATCCTTAGGTACAACATCACCTCTGTACAACAAACAGCATGCCATGTACTTGCCGTGGCGAGGGTCGCATTTTACAAGTTGATTTGCGGGTTCGAAGCAAGCATTCGTTATTTCAGCAACAGAAAGTTGTTCGTGATAAGCTTTCTCAGCTGAAATTACCGGTGCATAAGTAGCAAGTGGGAAATGAATCCGAGGATAGGGAACTAAATTTGTTTGAAATTCAGTTAAATCTACATTAAGCGCACCATCAAATCGCAATGAAGCAGTAATAGAACTGACAATTTGACCAATCAGCCGATTAAGGTTTGTATAAGATGGCCTTTCAATATCTAAATTTCGTCGGCAAATATCGTAAATGGCTTCGTTGTCAACCATGAAGGCGCAGTCAGAATGCTCTAAGGTAGTGTGCGTGGTTAAGATAGAGTTATAAGGTTCAACAACAGCTGTAGATATTTGTGGGGCTGGGTAGACTGAAAATTCTAACTTGGACTTTTTTCCATAGTCTACACTTAGTCGTTCCATTAACAGGGAAGAGAAACCAGATCCAGTACCTCCACCAAAGCTGTGGAAAACAAGAAATCCTTGAAGTCCAGTGCACTGATCAGACAACTTTCGGACTCTATCAAGTACAAGATCGATTATTTCCTTGCCAATGGTGTAATGGCCTCGAGCATAATTATTGGCGGCGTCTTCTTTTCCAGTGATGAGTTGCTCTGGGTGGAATAGCTGCCGATACATGCCAGTCCGGACTTCATCTACAATCAAAAATTGGGACAGCATTAATTAAATGCATTTAACAAGTATAATAAATAGGAAGAGACTTTTATTGTTTTAACTTTGTTTTGCCCACATACACACCATCTAGGTATGTTTTAAAATATGCCTGATTAGAAAACATTTAGTCAACATAAAAAAAGTATGAACAATTTAAAATCCTCTTTTTGCAATTATGGACATCCATATATGCGTATATTTCCCAAATGCATCAAAAAGCAAAAATATTAAATAAAACCAGAATCATCTCTGCGAAAATAATGCAACATTTGAATATTTTCTTCAAACATTTGATTGTATAAAAGTTACGAAATTATTTAAAGAAAGATCATTATCATTTACACTAAACATTTTTGATAGATTTGATGTTTTATTTGACATTTGTCATGTTAGAAAATGTGCTTGTTTAATTTTACATTGGCCATATTTAATTTATACAATTTTATAGAAGAAAGAAAATTAAACTGCATTAGAAAACTATGTTGTAATAGTTAAATTAGTTTTATTAGTAATGTCTCATAATAAAATCGACTCATTTGGCAATTAGTCTTATCACCCTGCATTACAGTTTTGATGGAACTTTATGGTATTGAATACGTGTTTTCAGATTTTGTAATGCAATGAATTAAAAGGCAAAAAATATTGAAAAATGTCTTTTCTAAAACTGTATTAAAATTAAAAGTTTCTGATGGGAAATTAATTAAAAGATATTTATAGTATGTTGATTTAGTTTATCTAGCAAAAGTCAATTTTATTATGAGACTTTTTACAATCAATTTCCATTACCATTTTCAGTTTCAGAAAAAATTTTGTCTTCATATTTTCTAAAATCATTTTTCTTAACTACTTAACTGTAAAGGAAAACAGTATTTAACAAGATGTTACTAAAAATGACGATGCACAGTGTTGTTCGAGATTTAAATTATTCTTGTTATAAACACACGTTACATACGCTGATTGCATTCACCATAATTCTGTTTGTTGAATGTGATGGCTCATGAATTCATCTATTTTTTTTTTCTTTGACGACAATATTCATGATTGGCTCTTTTTATATTTTAATTTTTTTTATAGGATTTGTTTTGTGAGCCGGGCTGATGCCCGGAGCCTCTTCGCAGAGTTTGAATTTTTTACTTTTGGTTTTGCTTTTGTAGAGTTCACCCGATCGACAGTGAATCAGAAAGAGATCTAATTTGAAGCAATATATAACAGCTCCTTCAGATCTCAATCTGATTCATAAGTAGTGAGTCGATATGAGCGGAAAGGGTGTGTGTATTTATGTTGTTTTGCTGTGTTTGTACTGTTGGTGCGTCATGAAGTCATTGAAGTGTGTTGGGAGTTTTCCATGTCTTTGTTCTTTTCTTTTTTTTTTAATTTGTTTTGCAGTATTTTCCGTCAGTGTTTGGAGAAGTAGGAAAGTTTGTGCAAGCGACGGACATGAATGTGGTGAACCCAGCCGGTTTCGCCATTTCGTTTCTTACCTGAAGTATCATCTCATTCGTCTTGGTAACTTCAAAGTTACTCAACCAAAATAAATGTGATGAGTCACTGACCATTTTGTACAAAGACCACAGAATGGACGCAAAACGAAGCCATTTTTGTTTTGCGTCCATTCTGTGGTCAGCTTCGTTGTTTGCAAGGGCGACGCGTTGGCGGACTTGTCTTAGTAAGCTATTTATGCGCATGCCATAAGCTTCAGGATTGCTGTTAGTGATGTCTTCGTGTGGTTGGTTTGACAAACCAATATTAGGATGATGACCGGTGTGGTGACGAGCCGATTCCGCTGAGATTACAGAAGATCACAGATTCGAGAATGTCGTTCCATTCACAATTCATGTCTTCGCACAAAATATAGAGAGCATTTTTCATTGTGTTGTGTTGCCGCTCGATGTTACCCAAGCTTTGTGGTTTTCAGGGACAATGTAATTCCCATGTGATTGACGTTAGTTCACAAAAATGTCTCCAGATCTCGCTCGTGAAATGAGTTCCACGCTCAGAGGACACACACAATGCGGTGTATTTTCCGGTGTAAGACATTATACAGTCTGGGAGCAGCGTCGATCGCACGGTCTCTGACGTACAGTATGGCCGTAAGATAAAGAAAGCTGTACAGAATTGTATGGATATATCGTTTACTTTTAGAGATGGGCATTGTGACGAAGTCTATGTAGATGACTTCGAATAGCCTTCTGACGTGCTAGTTTGGGCGCTTGCATCGCGTTTTGTTGCGCAAGTGGTGCAGGAAACATAAACCTGTATGTTGCTGTTTGGTACGGTACGGCCATCAGGACGTTAAGTGCTGGGTTCTAAATAAACATTGGTAGAGGTGCTTTTGTAAGTTACTAGGACCACTTGTGTTGGCTTCAAGTATCTCGTTTGTGTCAACCACCTGGATGGCATTGGTGACTTTTGATATTATCTCGTTGAATGCCTGTTCAGCGGTGATGTTGAGATGATCGATAATCATTACTTGGAAGAGGGATAGAGTTGGTAGGGCCTGGGTATGTCGATCAGTTGACCAAGACCACTGGTGGTGACACTGAGAGCGTTGCTGGTGGCTTCAACAGCTTGCCGCTCGCCGTGATTCTGTTTCTCTCATAAGAGTGGCGTTCTTACAAACAAATGTAGTGGCTCATGAACTCATCTTTTTTTCACGTTTTTTCTTTGGTGGCAACGTTTGTGATTGGCTCCTTTTATATTGTGTTTTTTTAGGGGATTTCTTTTGTGAGCCAGATGTGATGCGCAGAGTTACTGCGTAGAGGACAATTTTTTTATTTTTGGTTTGGTTTTCTTAGCGTTTACATCCGACCGAGATGTACAATAAATCAGAAAGAGATTTAATTTGAAACAGAGTGTAACATTCTTATTGATATTTAAGATTAGTACAATATAAAGCCAAATAAGGAAAGGAAACTTCCAAATAGGGATGGCCAGTTAGTCTTGAACCTAACTCGATTTGAGCTCGAGCATCGACATGACCTGAGTGGAAAATACGCAGGCCCAACAATTATTATATAATAAAATTTTCAAATTCGGAATCACTGAATATTCCTTATTCTTTAGCAAACTCTTATTGAGGAGCTTGTTATTTGTCAACAAATATTTATAGATATTCCGGCTCAAACCTTTTCTTATTAGAAATTTTAAATAAAAGAAATTACGTATACATGAGACTTAAAACTTGGTATTCGTTATACAGTGCAAATTCCATTGAGTTACTTAACAGTCGGTTAAGTGTAGGTACCTCCACTGAATTTTCGATACCTAAGGTTTAAAATGAATTTTTAAAAATGAAAAAGCACACTTGAAGATTTCATTTTAGATTTAATTGAAAGCTAAATGATTAAATTTACTATTTCCAGTAAGTAAAATGTTCTGGTGTATTTCAGATAGAAATTATATAGATTGGAATGTCAAATATTTGCTCGACTATTTTTTAATTTTCTTAAAAGCGGCCATTTTTTTAATTTTAAGAAATTTGTAAACAAAACAAAATTATCGGTTTAAAAATCTTCCAAAAACAAAATATATATTTCTGACACGTTATTTCAGTAAAATTAGAAAATTTAGAGTTAAATTAATCTGATTTGAAATAAATATTTCTTACTTATAATAAAGCAATATACAAGCATTTCTTAACGATGGGCCCTGTTTTCCTTTGATCTTATCGATATCGTATCGATAAGTTCCGAGGTGATGACATCTCTTATGGATGACCAGAATTAACATAAATTTACGAAATCTAATTGAATGTATTTTTTTCTTTTTTAGTTTTTAACTACCTAGTAATTTTTTACAAATTAACATATTTTCAGCAATTATTTAATATTTTATTGACTTTTAGTTACGTTTCAAGGTGCTTTATGAAATTTGCCTTTCGTCTCTAGGTTCTTATGTTTATTAACTTAAACAAAAAAATTAATTAATTGAAGTATGGCCCAAACTAAAATAAATACATAAAATATTTAGTGAAATAGTAATTAAAAAATAAATTGAAATTTTGAAGGGATAATTTGCAAAGACGCTAATGATGAAAAAGAACTGAATAAGGAAAGTGAAAAAATTTCAGTGCGTCAGACGACACTTAAATTACGTGATTATGTCATGTATAGCAATCCATAGGTAGAAATTGGGAATGTTTATACACTACAATTTTTTTAATAAATATTTGGGTACAAACGACTGTTATGAGTTTTTCAATTTTTGATTCGTAAATTTAAATTTCATTTAACAATATCACCAAACCGCCGCCTTAAAGCAATTCAGAATTTTAAGCGATTTTTAAATATTATAAATTATTAAAAAAATGGAAACAATTCTTGTAAATATTAATTATTCATAGAAAAAATTTTCTTCTTAAGAAAATATGCTTAATAAATCTTATTTATCAAATCAATTAAAAGTTTTTTCTAATTAAATAATGTCATAGTTTTATTGCATTTATTATTTTACAATTCATAGCAGATTTTTGGTGAATGGGTTAAATGTTTTACAAAAAAATTAATGATTTACTATCTCCAAGGAGTCCTACTTTTAACTAATAAAAAATCCTCGCTCTAAAAATTTAATTTCTCGAAATTTCATGAAATTATCTAAGTGGTTGGTAACATATGTAAAAAGATTTTTACCAAGATTTTCTAAGAAAAATATTTCAAAAATAATTTCATTCATTTCTGAATATGTTCTGAAAATTTCATTAAAATCCAACAATTATTTGATTTTTGCAAGAATTTTCAAATTAATGTGTGTTTCACCGGAAAAGCGCAAAACAACGAACCTTGGCCGCTGACATAAACAAAACAAGATTTTTAACCAAAATTTATAATATGCTAGAAAGAATTTAAAAAATTTCCAAAAATAATAATAAAATAATTCGGTCTTTCCTCCGGCCTTCTTCAGTTGGTTGGAATGTCGAACTGAACCCTTTATTTCGCTCACTGGGGTAGACTGTTCTATTTCTATGTGCCATGTCTAATGGATG